GACGAGGACGTGGAGCAGGAGGTGGGGCTGTATATTGGGAAAGGCACATCGCGTTGCCTGAGCACGAGTCTCGGCGACGTGAGCAGGCCGTTGTGGCAACCCCATGCCTTTGCGTGCCCGCCATGAGGCTCCATCCCGACATCTCCGAACTCCTCCTCTTTCCCTGTCTTTCTCCCCTTCCTTCCCTCCTCCCGCCTCCCCCATCTTCTCCCCCCAGTGGTCTTATTCTCCCTTTCGCCCGTCCTCCTGCTCTACTCCTTCCGCTTACTTTCCTCCTCCTGCTCTTCCCCACGTGTTTCCTCCTTGCTCTCGTCTCCCCGGCTCCCCCTCTCCCTCCTCCTCCTCCTCCTCTACCCCTCCTCCTCCCCCCTCCACCTCCGCCTCCCCGCACCTGCCCTTCCGCCCTGCAGCCTCCGCCTCCCCCTCGCCCTCCACCTCCACCTCCCCTTAACCTCCCCCTGCTGGTGCCCACGCCGCTGCTTCTCGTCACCCTCGTCTTGCTTCTCCTGCTCCTCCTCCCGCCCCATCCACCATCTCCTCTGCCTTCTCCTTCCCCCTCGTTGCCCCTTTTCTCCCTCGTTCCCCTCCCCCCCCTCTCCCTCTCCGCCTCCTCCCCTCCCCCCTCCCGCTGCTTGCTCTGCTCCTGCAGGGGCCCGGCCCTGGCGCACCGAGGCCGCGGTTTTAAACATCTGCCCGGGCGGTGCTCGCGATCCCGTTTGCCTCTCCGTGCCTCGGGGGTGGCGAAGAGGGGGCTTGTGACTGCGGCCAAGGCGCCGAAGGAAGGCCCACTTGGGGCTCAGGATGGGCTCGGACTCCTGGGCCGTGCCCCAGTTGAAGGTCGTGGGGCCTCCTCGTGGCCGAGGCCCGCCGTCGCCAGAAAAGCCCCCTCCCTCCTAATCTGGCGCTGCTTGTGGTAGCACTAGACTGACTGTGTGTGTGTGTGTGTGGATATCATGGGTGGGGCCACGAGATCTCTCCGGATTTCATGGCCCGCTCTCCTTCTTTCAATATGTCCCGGTCCCCCCCCCCCCTTGGGGCTTGGCATCGCTCGGACGTGTGCCTGTTTCTGCGAGGACCATCGGGGAGCATCTAGGGTCATTTTGCGACAAATTAAGCGCACGACATCGGATGGCGATGGGCCGGGCCCATGCCCGGGGCCATGATCCTGCACGGCCCCCTCTTGGACGCCCCCGAGTGCCGTCCGGCGACGCCGTGCACACCTCGTGCTTCGGCGGCGGCCAGAGCGATGGGGGGTCTGGCGCCCAGGCGCCACCGATAACAGGAGGGGGAGTCCATCTGCCCGAGGGTTAAAAGTGGAATAGCAGCTTCTATCCCAATATCTACTCCCGACTGGGGGGATTATCACGACTGCTGCGTACGCTCCCCCGGGGATGATGATCCTACCATATCCTAATGAAGCAGCACTGGGGACAACGCAGCGGTTGCGCAGAAGGAGGAGGAGGAGGAGGAGGAGGAGGAGGAGAGAGGAGGACGTGGAGCAGGAATGAGAGGAGGAGGAGGGAGAGAGAAGGAGGAGGAGGAGGAGGAGGATGAGGAGGAGGAGGAGGAGGAGGAGGATGAAGGAGGTGGAGGAGGAGGATGAGGATGAGGAGGAGGAGGAGGAGGAGGAGGAGGAGGAGGAGGAGGATTGCGCCAGAAGGGGGGTGGGCCTTCGGGGTTGGCTCCCGAGGCAACGTTTGGGTGGGGAGACTACTCTCGAAGGGTTTTGAATGTCTTCGTCGATTATCGACGGTTTTCAGGCCTCGGGGTGATCTTCAGCAGCTGCGCCTCGCCAGGAGGCGTGCGGGGGTGCCTGGATCGTCCCCGAACGGCCGCCGGGTACCCGAGCTATGGCCCGACAACCAGACGACGAGGATTACGTACCAATCGCAGGATATTCAGTTGGCAACTTCCATTGCCATGTTCATCTGACAGCGCCAGAGGCGCTTCGATGATGATGATGATGATGCTGATTATGATGCTGATGATGTTGATGATGATGATGCTGATGATGCTGCTGATGCTGCTGATGCTACTGATGCTGATGATGCTGCTGCTGATGATGACGATGACGATGACGATTATGATGATGATGCGGATAATGATGCTGATGCGGCTGATGATGATGATGATGATGACGATGATGATGATGATGATGTTGATGCTGCTGCTGCTGATGATGATGACGACGATGCTGATGCTGATGCTGATGCTGATGCTGCTGCTGCTGATGATGATGAAACTTATGATGGTGGTGGCAGTGGTGTTGGTGAGCAACGGCAGTTACTATGATTTCGGGGATTATCATAATGATCATGGTGATGATGGTCATTACGGATGCATCGACGGTGAATTCAATGTCGGCGATGCGACGATGATGTTGATTGCGATGGCGCTGACGATGGCGACGACGATGATTCTGCTATTTGCCGCTGCTGATCTTGTTGTTGACGAGTCTGAAGATGATGGCGACGATGCTGCTGTTGGTATGGGCGATGCTAACTACGGATGATGATGGCGACGATTATGAATAGGTTTACGCTGTCGTGGATGATGTGGATTCGAAGAGGACGGGGAGGACGAGGATGACCAGGATGATATCCATCACTGGTTAGATTCACCAGGTACCGTAGCGCACACACGTAGAATCCTGTGGAGCCTTTCTCTCGTGTTTTTGTTTTTTGTTTTTGCCTTGGCAGTGCTTGGCTGGCCGTGGCTGGCGGACTCTGCTGGCCGTCGTGCCGCATTGTGGCCACAGCGATCACGGTCCCAATCCCGTTCTCCTGGCTGGCCTGTTCCCGCTCCTCCGCTCTCCCTCCACCTCGTCTTCTTGCTCATGCCCCTGCTGCCGATGCTGCTGCTGCTGCTGCTCCTCCTCCTCCTCCTCCTCCTCCTCCTGCGCATCCTCCATCCATTTTCCAGCTACACAATCGATCTCATTATCGATATCGCACTATCGATCTCACAATCGATCTCACTATCGATCTCCCTATCGATCTCACTATCGAGCTCACTATCGATCTCACTATCGATCTCACTGTCGATCTCACTTTGGGACACCGACGGGGTACGGGACACCGACGAGGCACCGACGGGACACTGACGGGACACCCACGGGACACCGATGGGACATCGACGGAACGCCGACGTGACACCGACGGATCACCGGCGAGGGCCACCGTCAAGCCACCGGCGGGCCACCACAGGGCACCACGGGACACCATCGGGACACCACGGCGGGACATCCCTGGGGCCCCTGGCCACCGCCGAGCAGCCCGGCGCGCGGGGGGGGCGGCCTTCGGGCCCAACGGCGCCCTGGCGAGAGGAAGGCTCATTCCTTTCGCCCGCCCACGCAGCTTCGCCTCGCCCGCACGCGCGACACGAACACGAAGCCGGAACCGATTTCCCGGTGGGGGGCTCTCCGTTGCCTTGCGATCCCACCCCTCCTTCACTTCTGATACAATCCGAGTGCATCTTCGGGAAATGTGCAAATATGCCAAGAGTGGCCCCGGTGCACAAGGACAAAGAATTCCCACCCCCACCCCCACCCCCACCCCCCAGAGCCACCCCGAAGCAAACAGGAGCGGGGCACCCGCCGCGATCTCGCCTTCGCGACGCCTGGAGGTCTGAGCCTGCTCCCCCGCTTCCCGTGCCCTGCGAGGAGCCCGGCCACCTGCGCCTCCGCCTCCTCCTGCGCCTGCTGGCTTAGCCAGGGGTCCTCCTCTTCGTGCGTGACATCCTTCTCGCTACACATAACACACTGCGCACTCAAGATAGATCTGGACCTGAGTGCCTTTCAGCCTCGTTCAGAGCACATGCGCGTGTGTTGGCCCGCCGCAGAGCGGGCATCAGAGCTCTGCTGCAGCGGCGGCAGCCCGTCACTCGCGGGCCTTCTCTTGCGCCTGCTGACCAACTTCGATGAGGCCCGTGCGCTCCCCTCTCCAGTGCATCCTGCTCATCCTCAAGCTCACCCTCAGCCTCCTCCTCTTCTTCCCCCTCGTCGTACACTGTGGATAGCTCCCCTCTCTGGGTAGTCGAAGGCCAAACTGTCAGATTGGATTGGGCCCGACGGGCCAATCTGGCCTGGCCAAACTGGATGATTTGGGTTATTCGCCAGACTGGATTCGCGTTGGCTCCCTCGCCAGATTGCCCCCGTTTGCCAGATTGGGCCTGCCAGATTGGCGCCAGATTGGCTTCGACTACCCAGCCTCTCCTCATTGCGCATCATGCGATGGTGGCCTTCCTGCGGGGGTTCCTGATCTGCCATGTCACCCCTTGGCGGGTGGGGGACAATTCGGCGCAAAGGGGAAGGGATGGGTGGGAGGGGCAGGATGCCAGATGTGGCGCGAGCGCACCTAGCTTGCCCCCTTCCCCCCCCTCCTCCCCCCTCCTCCTCCTCCTCCTCCTCCTCCTCCTCCTCCTCCTCCTCCTCCTCCTCCTCCTCCTCACTCCTCCTCCCCTCCTCCTCCTTCCTCCTTCCTCCTTCTCCTCCTCCTCCTCCTCCTCTCCTCCTCCTCCTCCTCCTCCTCCTCCTCCTCCTCCTCCTCCTCCCTCCTCCTCCTCCTCCTCCTCCTCCTCCTCCTCCTCCTCCTCCTCCGCTCCTCCTCCTCCTCCTCCCCTCCTCCTCCTCCTCCTCCTCCTCTCCTCCTCCTCCTCCTCTCTCCTCCTCCTCCTCCTCCTCCTCCTCCTCCTCCTCCTCCTCCTCATCCCCTCCTCCTCCTCTCCTCCCCCTCCTCCTCCTCCTCCTCCTCCTCCTCCTCCTCCTCCCTCCTCCTCCTCCTCCTCCTCCTCCTCCTCCTCCTCCTCCTCCTCCTCCTCCTCCTCCTGCCCCTTCTCATTTCTCCCTTCTGGGCTAGGCTCGGTGGAGCCGGATCGGCACCGGCAGCGCCTCCGGGTCGGGCGCTGGCCTGATGCCGCTGCCGCTATTCAGCTTGTCTCGCTCAGTGTTCTTGGTCGTCACGGTGGCGATCGCGCATCGCGTCCATTCGGCGACTGCAATCGGTGCGGTTACGCCGGGGTGCGGTTTGCGAGTTGCTTTGTGGCGGCCTTTCTGGGGCCTTTGTGAGAGACAGTGTCATGGTCGTCGTCGTTTCGAGCGACACCGTCATCCTCGATGTGTGCTCCATTGCGCTAGAAGGAGCGACAGTGTCATGTGATTCGGTCGCATTGAGTGACAGTGTCACCCGTTTCCCGGGGGCGGGAGGTGCAGATATGACGGGAGGCAAACCGCACCCTTCGCAAACCGCACCCATTGTAGTCGCCGATCCATGGCCTCAGCAGGGGCAGCAGGCACGTCCTCGCGAGGTGAAGGCCGCACCAGGGCCCGGACAACCTCCGATATGGTTTTCCCCGGAGAAGGGCTCTGGCTCAGGGTCGTCCTGCAAGCCTGTCCCTGGCGCCCTGAGTGAAGGAGGCCCGCGGATGTCTGCTGCGATAGACAGCGAGGTCGAAGAGGGCTGGCGGGTTAAAATGTTGAAGATTTCCCGATCGAAACGCTTGTGTTATATAATATGTTGAGGATCTCCCGAACGAAATGCTTGTTTTAACGTGTACAGGTCGCCCAGGCGGATGCCTAGCATGAGGATATGTTGAGGATGCCTCGAGCGAAACGCTTGCTTTAACGTTTCCAGATCGCCCAGGCGGATGTCTAGCATGCGGGTTTGTTGAAGATGTTTCGAGCGAAACGTTTGTTCTCAGTGTACAAGTCCCTCAGGCGGATGTCTAGCACGAGGATCTGTCTCGAGCGAAACGCTTGCTTTCACGTGTCCAGGTCGCCCAGGCGGATGTCTGGCATGCGGGTGTGTTGAGGATTTCTCGAGCGAAACGTTTTTTGTCACGTGTCCAGGTCGCCCGGGGGGATGCTTAACATGACGATTTGTTGAGCATGTCTTGAGCGAAACTCACAGGTCGCCCAGGCGGATGCCTAACAGAAGGAATTCCGAATCATGTCTTGAGCGATCGCTTGTTTTCACATGTCCCAGTCGCCGAAGCGGATTTGTTGAGGATGTCTCGAGCTAAATGCTTGTCGCAGCAGAGTGCATCGCAGCCTAGCGCCGCCTGGCACAGCGCAGCTTGGGCGTCCTTCTGCCAGTTCCGTGGCGCGTTCTCCTGCTCGTCCGTGGCACGTCCCCTGGTGTGCTGGCGCGTCCCCTGGCGCGTCCCTTGCGAGGCTCCCTGGCGTGACGTGCCCGAGCACGTCCCCTTGGCGCGCCCCTCGGCGCGCCCCTTGGCGGGTCCCGTGGCGCGTTCCCTGGCTTGTCCTCTGTCGCGTGCCCTGGTTCGTCCCCCGGCATGATGTCCTCTGGCACGCCTCGTGGCACGCGTCCTGGCACGTCCCGTGGCGGGTGCCTGACACGTCCACGGCACGTCCCCCACCACGCCCCGCGACCGATCCCCCGGCGCCTCTCCTGGTGCGCCCTTGCCACCTCCCGCGGCGCGTCCAGGCGCCCTGCGCCACGTGCCGTGTCGTCTCGTCTCGTCTCGGAGTTGAATCGGATCGCGAGCTCGAGCTGACTTGAGCGTCCCAAAAGTCCCGGCCGCAAGCAGCTCTGGGCCAGCTGCATGCTCAGGCAGCTCGAGCTAAGAGCCAGATCGGTTCGGTCAGGATTCGGATGCTGAGGAAGACTCGGTCCGCAACGCTGTAGAGCACAATCGCGGCATGGCACATCTCAATTCAGCACGGCACAGCACAGCACAACCCCTGGCACAGTGCATCACGATCGATGCATTCAGCCTTGCAGTTGCTTGTCGCCTCATCAGCTGTCATGAAAACGTTGCCATGCTCCACATTTCCACATTTCGTTCCTGGTTCGTGGGCCGATCATGTTCAGGAGGGGAAAAACACACAGACACAATGAATCGTCGATTCCCAAGAAAATATGGGAAAATATGGGAATTGGGCGGGAAGACAAACAAAACATATATGGGAAACTATGTTTTTTTTTAAATTTTATTTGTGTGTATCTATTTGTGTTCCAGGGCCCCTTCACATGTTTCAGTCCGCATCCCCAGAGCTCTCGACACCTCCTCCGTGACCAGGGTTTCGCCCCCGCTCCGTCCTTGATGGTCTCCGGGGCCGGAACGCGGCCCCCGAGGGCAGCAAAATCGCAGAAAAACACGCCGGGATGGACACCGCCATGCCGTCGGAGATCCGGGATCAGCTCCGTCCCTGCGCGGCGAGGGCCAGCAGGAGGAGCCCGCCGCCCGCGCCGCGGCCGTGCGGCCCTCGGGCGGTTCGCGCGAGCCCGTCCCCCTTGCTGCCGCTGCGGCTCCCGCCGCGGTGGGCTGGCGCCCTGCGCGGCCAGGGGCGCGCAACGGTGGCGGGGGGCGCACCCGGGGGAGGGGGCGGCGAGGGGGCCCTCCGTTGATCGAGCCCCCTCCCTCGGGGGAGGGCAGGGTGCCCATGCCGCCCCCATTCAGTCGTTGTCTCCCTTTGGGGCCCCTAGGGCGGCCTTCGTCGCCACCGCTGGGTTCGCCTCGAAATCCTGGTCAGAACGCTACCCGGGAGAGGCCCAGGGAGTAGCGGTATCGGTGCCTTTTGGTTTCCCCAAGCCCAAATGCTGGGCCAGAGTATCTCAGCCCCACCATCCCCCCCCCCCGTTTGGTGAAATGCCCTGCGAACCAACCCCCTCAGGAACAGCACATATCCCCACCCAGGGGGGTGGATCGGCCAGCGGGACCAAGGCCACGCCAGTGGGGATAGGGAGTGGTAAAACGATGCTCAGACCCCGAGGTCCTTGCGTCGCAATTTTTCACAGCGGGCGATTTTGTCTGGTTTCGGGCCCCCGGGCCCTCACGGATCGATCTGGCTTGAAAAGTGCCAGAGAAAGATGGGGTCCCCAGGGCCTTGGTCGAGCTTTTTCAGCGATATTGCAATTTTTCCGTGACGTCGGATCTCAGGGGAGAGGATGGGGGAGAGGGAGGGAGGGAGGGATGGGGGGAGGAGTTCTCCCTCCCCCCGCTCTCTTCCTCCCTGCTCCGACTCCTCCCTCGCGGACAGCGAGCAGAACTACCCGCCGTGTTCCGATTCCGATTCCAGGAGGGAGGAGGCGTCGGAGCAGGGAAGAGGAACAGGGAAGAGGGCTGAATGAGGAGAAGGTGACGGAAGGGGAGGGGGGGAGGGGATGGGGGCAAGCTAGGTGCGCTCGCGTCATATCTGACATCCTACCCCTCCCTCCCATCCCTTACCATGGCGCAGATCCCCTCTCTACTCGCACAGTCGGATGTCGAGCAGGGCAATGATCCCGAAAGGGTACGCGATGCATTGTAGAGCACGGCATGGCATGGCGTAGAAGAGCACCGCGAAGCGTAGTATCAACCTAGCATTGCATTGCATGCCGTGGCATGGCACGGGAAATGACGCCAGCGCTGCAGCGGGAGCACGAGTCGAAACGAGCGGAAGCGCGGAAATGAGGCCAGCGCTGCAGCGGGAGCACGATTCGGAACGAGCGGAAGCACGGAAATGATGCCAGCGCTGCAGCGGGAGCACGATTCGGAACGAGCGGGGTCCGAAAATGAGGCCGGCGCCTCAGCGAGAGCAGCATTTTGAAACAAAATGCAGGCGAAAACCCAACTCCGGGGAAACCTGTGTGTAACAAAAAGTATGCGGGGGGGGTCGAATACTCCCAAGCCGTCATCAGGGGAAGAGGGAGAGTAGTATTCATATTGAGTAATTGTGGAGGAGGAGTGGAGATGATGAGGGAGCGAGGAGGAGCAGGGAGGGGCGAGGAAGTGAGGGAGGGAGGGAGGGAGCAAAGGAGGGCGGGAAGGGAGGGAGGGAGTAGGAGAAGGGAGGAGTCGGTTCTCCAGGATGTTGGCCCCCCTTGGGAGGTCTCCGTCGCCACGGCCAGGACCCATTGGGAAATCGTGGTCAGAACGCGCTCTGGGAGAGGTCCAAGAGCAGTTTTTGAGGAAGAGGAGGAGGAGGAGGTCCAGTGTCAAAAACTGAGTTTTTGAGGAAGGAGGAGGAGGAGGAGGAGGAGGAGGAGGAGGAGGAGGAGGAGGAGGAGGAGGAAGGAGGAGGAGGAGGAGGAGGAGGAGGAGGAGGGAGGAGGAGGAGGGAGGAGGAGGAGGAGGAGGAGGAGGACCAGTGTAAACCCAGAACGCGTCAGCGGTGTTGCAATCCGCCCTCCCTCCAATAATGTGTTCCCAAACACCCTGTGGTGTCGGTTCCTCGTTTTGAAGAGACAGCGAGCGCCCCGCGTTCTCCTCTCCTCCTCCTCCTCCTCCTCCTCCTCCTCCTCCTCCTCCTCCTCCTCCTCCTCCTCCTCCTCCTCCTCCTCCTCCCCCCGCTCCTCCCACCCCTTGCGCCCCTCACACGTTTCGTGGGCCCATAGGGTTCTCTACCGAAGGCTCCAGTGGACAAACATGCATGCAGTTCCACCCCATTTCGGCGCACCCCTCACACGGTTCGTGGCCCCGCAGGGAGCTCCACCGAATGCCCTGGTGGGAAAGATCGCATGCAGTTCCACCCTCACATTTCGGCGCACCCCTCACACGGTTCGTGGCCCCGTAGGGAGCTCCACCGAATGCCTTGGTGGGAAAGTTCGCATGCAGTTCCACCGCCCATTTCGGCGCACCCCTCACACGGTTCGTGGCCCCGTAGGGAGCTCCACCGAAGGCCCCAGTGGGAAAGTTCGCATGCAGTTCCACCCTCGCATTTCGGCGCACCCCTCGCACGGTTCGTGGTCCCATAGGGAGTTCCACCGAAGGTTCCAGTGGGAAGGTTTGCATGCAGTTCCACCCCATTTCGGCGCACCCCTCACGCGTTTCGTGGCCCCGTAGGGAGCTACACCGAAGGCCCCAGTGGGAAAGTTTGCATGCTGTTCCACCTCCATGTCGTCGCACCGCTCGCACGGGTCGTGGTCCCATAGGAAACCACCCTCGCAGGCCCCAGTTGGAAAGTGCGCAGGCAGTTCCATCCCTCATTTCGGCGCACCCCTTACACGGTCCGTGGCCCCATAAGGGGCTCCACCGAAGGGCCCAGTTGCAGGGTTCGCATGCAGTTACATCCCCACGTCGGCTCATCTCTCCTATGTTTCGTCTCCCGAAGACGATACACCCCGTTACGGCACGCACAGCTGCATATGATTGGGTCTTTCGCCAGGCTAATTTTCATTGCGGGAAGTGCCCCACTGAAAGGCAATTGTCTGAGAACCTTCAGCCGTGCCAGAACACCGTTCCAGGAGTTGCGTCC